CCCCCCCCCCCCACCCCCCAGTAGCAAAGGTACATATAAGGGATAGAGTGGTCTGCATTTGATCCCTGACTGGGGGAATTGGGTGGTATTCTTGGGCAAGACACTTTAATTAGCCTCCATGGCCCCATCATCATCTCACCTAGGTATATCAATGGGTACCAGCAAATTTAATGCTGGGGAGCAACCCTGTGAAGGACCAGTATCCCATCCAGGGATGTATACTCCTAGTTGCTTCATGCTAGATAGGTGATAGGAATAAGCACTGGCCTGATGGGCCAGTGGGTTCTTATTTCCAATTTTCATGTGACATCATCATTTTCCAAAATAAAACATAACCAGTCTTTCTGAAGTTTTAGTTTTATCAGTTGTAAGACCCCTAATAACTTAACATTTTGCAACGTTTAAGCACGACAGGTTTCCTCATTTTGTAATAGAGCAACCTTTGAATTTCTAAGTTACATGTACATGTATGCGTTGCATGACATTAACATGGCAGCTGGAAAAGGCTCTCTAGTAGGTCAAAAGATGAGTTATTGCTCAAGTTTTTTCTAACTAAACAGTTCTTGCCCTGGACTGAAGAAGTATTAATTTCAATGTGTCGGAGTTCTAGAGTAATAACTTTTTGTTTTGATGGCAAAACTCAATGACAGATGTTTCTGTTACTTTATGGCCACCATGATGGTGCTTCTCTGAAGGGAACCAACATGGCATCTCCATACAAAGCTCTCTAAAGTGAGACACTGTTCTGAATTACACGCGAATGAATAACCACACAGACCTAGATCTTGGTGAGGTTGTTAATATCAATCCTCTATCGATATCATATCCCAGCCTCTTGACTTAATTTATTGAATGAATGGTTATGATTTTTATTTTTGATGGAGTGACACTGCAAACCAGCCATATGCAGACCTTAAACCTTTATAATGTATGGCCTGACTCTCATTACAGAACCAAGAAATGAATATACAGGATAGGCCATCCTGTGAGGGAGGACAGGTACAGGAAAGAATTCAGCAGGAAGGGAATGATGACAACCCTGTGAGTCCTGAGAATCAGGTACACACAAGCTTATATTACACCATGAATGATGATGGGTAATTTTCTGGTACCTACATTTACCATCTCCATATTTGCTTATTTAGGCTTGAGCTA